AATCTGCAGGACGACGAGCCTGGCATTGACGCATCGGACCGCAGGCGCGTCGGACCGTTGGCGAAAGACCCGCCCATATGCAGTTGTGAGTAGCGCAATTGTGAGCATCGTCTTCGGTGGAGCTCCTATGGGGCGACGAAGCGCGTGAGGGATGTGTCGGCATGGGCGCGGTGGGCGCATGTAGACTCGTGTGAGGGGTGTGCCCACATGGGTGCGGTGGTGCCATTCGAGCGCAGCCACTGGAGCCCTCGGTGGAGATCCCTATGGGGCCACGAAGCGTTCAAGGGAGTGCCGACATGGGTGCGGTGGTGCAGTGCGAACGCAGCCATTGGGGCATTTTGTGGGGTTCCCTATGGGGCCGCAAAATGTGCGAGCGGTGTGCCGAAATCGGCGCGGTGATGCCATGCGAGCGCAACCAATGGGGCCCTCGGTGGAGCTCCCTATGTGGCCACCCAGCATGCGAGGAGTGCGCCGAAATAGGCGCGAAGGTGTCATGCAAGCGCAGTCATCGGGTCATTTTGTGGAGCTCCCCATGGGGAGCGCCATGCGAGCGCAGCCATTGGGGCCTTCGGTGGAGCTCCCCATGTGGCCACGAACCTTTTAAGGGGTGTGCCGGAATTGGCGCGGTGGTGCAATGCGAGCGCAATCGCTGGAGCTTTCGGTGGAGCTCCGTGTGTGGCCACGAAGCGTGTGAGGGGTGTGCCGATATCGGCGTGGTGGTGCCATGCGGGCGCATCCAAACAAACCTTCCTTGGAGCTCTTTCTGGGGCCACGAAGCGTGTGAGTGGTGTGCCGAAATGGGCGCGGTGTTGCCATGCGAGCGCAGCCACTGGGGTCCTCGGTGGAGCTCCCTATGGGGCCACGAAGCGTGCGAGGGGTGTGCCGACATGGGTGCGGTGGTGCCATGCGAATGCAGCCGCTGGAACATTCGGTGGGGCTCCCTATGTGGCGAGGACACGTGTGAGGGTTGTGCCGAAATTGGTGCGGTGGTGCCTTGCGAGCGCAGCCGCTGGGGCCCTCGGTGGAGCTCCCTATGGGGCCGCAAAGCGTGTGAGGGTTGTGCCGAAGTGGGCGCGGTGGTGCCATGCGAACGCAGCCGTTGGGGCTTGCGGTTGAGCTCCTTGTGGGGCCACGCAACGTGTGAGGGGTGTGCCGACATGGTCGCGGTGGTGCCGTGCGAGCGCAGCCGTTGGGGCCTTCGGTGGAGCTCCCTATGTGGCCACGAATCGTGTAAGGAGTGTGCCGAAATTGGTGCGGTGGTGCCATGCGTGCGCAGCCATTGGGGCCTTCGGCGGAGCTCCCTATGTGGCCATGACACGTGTGAGGGTTGTGCCGAAGTGGGCGCGGTGTTGCCATGCGACAGCAGCTACTGGAACCCTCGGTTGAGCTCCCTATGGGGTCACGAAGCATGTGAGGAGTGTGCCGAAATGGTTGACTGGTGCAGAGGGCAGTAGCAGGGATGGGAGGATGGGGGGGGAGGAGGAGAGGAAAGTAGGAACGCGTGGCGTTGTCTCTTCAAAACGAGGACTCAACACCAAAGGATGGTAGGAACAAAAACAACGCGGAGTGGTCGCGCGGCGACCGCCGAGTCGTCGCGGAGCGCCCGCCGGCGCCCCAGATTTGGAGGCAAAGTGCGTTCTGTATTGTTTTTAACATGGACGGTCAGCTTGCGCGCAGATTACGCGCACGAGACAACATATCGACACCCCCGCCGCCCCTACCAAGCACCACTGCAGCGTGGTCGCGGGGCGCCCGCGCATGCTCGAGATTTTGAAGCAACAGTGTGGGGGGCATGTTCTGGTTTGGCCCTCAGTCGGGTGGGGGAGGGGGTGTATAATTCATATGGAGCAGTGATCAATACACACTCCCCGCACGCAGGCCGTCTCGCTAACTTTCACACGCCCTCCCAACACATAGTATCACCCGAACCTCAGTGTGTTCAGCGGTCGCCTAGGGATGGGAGGCCACTGGGTAACAAAAACAAGCTCCACGTGCGCAATGTTGGGGCGAGGTGCGCCGCGCGTGCCAGGCGCCCCATGTGCGCCAGGCACCCCAGCGGCCTAAGCGTGCCACGCGCGCCAGGTGCGTCACGTGTTTTACGTGCGCCATGTGTTCCGCATGCTCCAGTCGCTCTAGGTGCGCCACGTTGGGTGTACGCGCAGAGTGTGCCAGGTGCGCCTGTGCACGTGGCACTACACATCGGGAAACGTGTTGCCCCACCCCGCCATCCTTGTCGACCGTCATAGCGTCTGGTGGGCCTGCACATTCCAGGCAATCTGCTTATACCCCGGCCGTCTCAGTTAACAAACAAGTGCGCAGTGATCTCGGGGTGCCCGCACATGATTCAAATGTCGCCCCCAAACGCATGTTGTATCGTTATGTTGCAGGGTTGCTGGCCCTGCGCGCAGTAGGCGAAATGCAGGGACCTCTGCCGTCCTTGCCAACAACACCAATACGAAGTGCTCGCGCCCTTCCGATCATGACCTAAGATTTTGCCCCAAAGTGGAGGGTGATTGGTGGGACCCTCATCGGTCCTGGTTGGTTTGCGGTCGCTTGGGGGAGGGTGTGTTTATTGATAGGGAACATGGATCAAAACACCATTCCCGCCCGCAAGTTGTATCATTCATTCCCGCCCATCCTCCCAACACATAGGTATCACCCGAACTTCAGCGTGTTCAACGGCCGTCTATGGATGGAGAGCTACTGGGAACCAACAACAGACCTCACGTGCGCGATGTTGCGGTGAGGTGCGCCGCGCGTACCAGGCGTTCCACGCGCGCCAGGTGCGCCCGGCACCTGGGCCGCAATCGTGCCAAGCACGCCTGGCGCGCGAGATGCGCCGCATGCTCAACGTGCGCACTGTGTGTGCCGCAAACTCCAGCAGCGCTAGGTGCGCCACGTTTGGGGCCCGCGCAGAGTGCGCCAGGTGCGCCCGCGCAATGATAGTATATACCGCGACACATGTCCGCCCCCACCGTCCTTGTTGAAAATCAGTGCGCAATCGCGGTGGGTGGGTCATCATGGTGTCTGGAGCAAGCAATCTGCCAGCACCCCCGTCGTCCTTGACAACCGAAAATGCAAAGTGACCGTGGGGTGGCCGCACATAATCCAGATTTAGCCGTGAAGTGGTCCTGTATTGTTTTTTGACACCCCCGCTGCCCGTGTCAAAAAACAATACAAAGTGCTCGCGGGGCCCACGAGCATGACCCAATACGGTCGGACCAAAGTATAAGGTCGAGGTCGGTTCGGGGTGGGTACCCTGATGGTCTTTGTGTTGTTGTGATGTTCTCGTGCGTCCTGCGAAGGGTACATTTGGATGTTCTGTGTGTTTTGGCCGGCGGAGGGTCTCACGTTTGAAGGATGCTCTTCTGTCCTAGGTCCGACATAAACTTGTTCCAAAGTGTATTTGGTTTTGTTTCTTGGACGGGGATGGTGGGGTAGTGGTGGTCAATTTACGTGGTTGGCTGCCGGTCGCCTGAGGGAGGGGGTGTTCATTAACAGGGAACTGTAACAATACCTTGCCCGAAGGGAAAGAATGGGGTTGGAAGAGGACCCTGTGTACACCACTCACAAGGGGTTCGTGGGATCCCCTCGTGCCCCCGCCCATCTGGCGGCCTGTATGGGGTGGATCGGTAGCGGGGATCCCTTGGGTTGGGTCGGACGATTCCGGAAAATCAGCAAAAGGGGGGAACGAAAGCTGCTGTATGCAGCTGGCTTCGGCCCGCCGCCCAGCACGTCTGTCGATACATGGTTGCTCGCTGTGCCTCCAAGCGCCGGGGAAACCAGTTGCATGCGGCCGATTCCCTCGCCCCACCCACCTGGCGTCGGTCCCAATGTGTGATGGATTGGTGGCGAGGGTTTTTAGACGTGAGGGCTCGATCCTTCCCCTCCGATCGGCGCCGCGCCAGTGGAGTACAAGTACGTGCTCCGCGAGGCCGACGGCTCGTGGGAGTGGGAGGAGGGGGGGAACCATGTTCTCGAGCTGCGTCCGGAGCTGGGGGTTGCGACTGCTTGCCTGCCCTTCCCACCCTCCTGGGGAGCAGGGGTGGGAGGGGAGAGGGAGGTGCAGGTGCAGGGGGAGGCTTCAGGAGGATGGTGGGAAATGCATGGGAGTGGATCTGCTCTGGTTCGGGGGGTCGGCGGCGGAAGGTCGAAATACGCTGGAGGTGGAGGAGGAAAGAGAGGGCCTGACGCTGGGAGATGTCAGTCCCACGGCATGCCTAAAAAAGAAGGCAGGGGGAGAGCACAAGGAGGAAGCAGAACGAGGCAGAGGAGGACACGTCGAGGAGGAGGAGGAGGAAGGACAGTAAGGAAGAGGAGCAGGAGAAGGGGGAGGAAACGGAGAAGCAAGAGGGTGAGGAGCCCGGTGGCCTCCGGGGGCTTCCGGGGTGCCCCGCGCCAACATACAGTACATCGATATTCGATACGGTAGGTGCCGTGTTGTGTCGAATCGGCGGCGACCTTAGCGCGGGCGTTCGAGTGTGAACGCCGCTGGTGGCCTGATCGGTCGACATCGAACGATCCCAGTTGTCGAGAAACCGCGATCATTCAAGGCTGAACGATCCATGTGGTACCAGAATCAAACGCGCAGGTCGTCAGGACATAAGTCCAGTCGTCCTCGATCCTTCTGCTCCAAGCCCAGGGAGCGACGCCGAGATTTGAACACATCGATTCCAGCCAATGGAAGTCGGTTCCCGGACCCCTCTTGGACGCCATTTGGGCCAGTCTTCCGATCTGCGTGCAGCCGTGGCAACGAGGAGGCCTCAGAACAAATCCAAAAGGCTGGGATTGAGAAGCGGCGGTCCGCTGGAGCATCTCGTTTTTTGTCCTCATGGCGCGTGTTAGCCCAATGTGTACGTCTACCCCGATTCACTCCACCGATAGCGCACAGCCTTCGTCGGCCCTCGTTACACCGCTGGCGTCGCAACGAAGGGCTTTGGTGGACAAGAACACGTTGGCCCTGACACGTGTTGGAAGGATCAGCGAATCTCACCCCACAGGAGAGCCGCCTCCTGGAGCGGCTCGACTGCTGGGGCCGTGGCGGCTGAGAGCGCGGCTGCACGCGCTCGCCGGATTCGCGTCCAGAGTTCCGCCCACGCGCGTGTCGTCGTCCGCGTCCGCCGTCCGTCGTCCGCCGTCCGCCGCAGCGAAGTTCGAGGATCCAGGTTTTCGGACACTTTTCGATATTCTCCCGCCTCCAGGGGCGCCACCGTGGCAACGGCTAGGTCCGTCTCGAGCGCGACCCTGGCCGGAGCGTACCCTTCTCCCCTTTTGGGAATTGGTAAGAGACGGTGCCATGGAAGAGTTCGTCATCCTCGGGGCAGGCTTGCTCCCAAGTTCGTGTCACCTCGGGCTCGCACCCCAGAAACAGCGGCTCAATGTCGGAGTTCTGAAAGTTTCCGTTCGACATCAGACATCTTCTTCCTGGGGGATTGCATGATTGGAGGAGGGGTAGTTGGAGAGATGGAGGAGGGAAGGCGAGGAGAGGGAGGCAGGAGTGAGGAGAAAGAATACGGGGAGGGATGAGGATGGGGTGGGCGAATTACTTTTTGCTGTTGACATGTATATATACGTATATATATATATGTGTTGTTCTCTGTCTGTCTCTTTCCCTCTCTCTACGTCTCTCTCTCTCTCTACATCTATATATATCCCTTATACACAATTATGAATCTGTGTTTCAGGGGTTTCGCCTCAGGCCTCCCCTCAGAGTTCTTGCGTGGCCACATTTGATCGGTTGATTTGTGTGTGTGTTGTTGTCTTGTCGGTTAACAAGTTGGCGATTCGTCTGATGTCTATATGTATACATAGATATGGATGGCAGTTAATTTGGGCTGTTTTCTGGCTGGCAGGTTGCGCGTGCCTACAAGACTTGATGAGGGATGTTGGCCTCGGAAGCGCACCTCCAGTGTAATTTTTCCGTGGGTGGTTGCCTCAGAAGCGCGCATCTTGCGTAATGTATTAGGAATGGTGGCTTCGGGAGCATGCGCATGCCGGTAGCGCGCATGCGTTGCAATTCACGAGGTGTTTTGGTCTCGGGATTGCGCGAGCGCGTTGTAATTTACAAGGTATTGTGGGCACGGGAGCGTCTACCTGTAGCAGTGTATAATGGATGTGTGAGCCTGGCAGCGCGCATCTGTTGTAATGCACAAGGGATTCTGGCCACAGAAGTACGCATAAGAGTTGTTTTCTCGGGAGCGCGAGCGCGCATTCAACTTCCGCAAGGATGGTGGCCTCGGGAGCGCGCGAGTGTTGCAAATCAACATGCCCTCAGAGCGCGCATGCAAGGTAGGGTGGCCTCGGGATCGCGCGCGCGTCGCAATTTGCGAGGGGTTGTGCGTCGGGGCCGCGCACCTATTCTATTCCAAAAGGGGACTGATCCTAGGATTACTGTTTCAAGTCAAAATGAAGCTGCTTCGAACGATTCCCACTGGAACCTTCGGCGGTTGTTCCCGAGTCTGGTGTTGTTGGTAAGTGTGGCCATCCTGAGTTCGGCGCGCATGCCGCGTTTGAGCAGACGCCAGTATTCGGTCGCTGCTGCATTCTGCTCTATCATGGTCTGCTCGGTTCTGTTCTGTTCTACGCGCATCTGGTTTGTTGTATTCTGCTTTCCACGGGGCAGCGTGACGTCTAATTTGTCGTTGCTGTGCCTGTTTGAGTCCTGAGGTCAGACTTACGTCGGCTTTGATGCTGTGTTCCACAGGGCGCCATCAATTCGCCGCTGCTGTGTTTCCCGCACTCAAGTACGGTTATATTCTATATTCCATCATGTTTTAGCATGACATGCTGTATGATGTTATGTTGTGTTCTCGACGGGCCGGGGTGACGACGTGACGCCTGCCACGTTAGATACGTCGTCTAATCGTTCGTTGTTGCGCTTGTTTGTTCCTGGTGGCCAGCCTGATCTCGGTGCGCACGTCGCGTTTGTTGATATATAGTGAAATGTGCGGTCGATAATATTAGGCCGCTCTTCTTCAGCGGAAAGGAGCACATAACGTCAGGCCAGTTGCATCAGGTTTGGGTTGCGTTGTTCGAAACGATATGCTAAAGTACCTGGCATATGTGGAACCTGTTCACGGCTGGGCCGGCGTGCTTGAGCTAAACCAAGCCAGGCCCACAGGGAGCTTCGCACTTTTATGCGCCCAAAACAGTCCGACCCGAAAAGGAGACATCTGCGTTTGATTACGCACATCTCAGGGATTCGATCATTGACGCCGCCGGTTTTGCAAGTCTATCGCAACAAAGAAAATGCCGCGATCACAGGAGTGAGATAAAAGCATATCATTCCCCGACCGCTCCAAGCAGCCCTCGCCTCGCGGGGGAATGCGGGTCGCTCGCAGGATGCCCAAGAGTTTAAAAGGCTGCACACAAGGTTTGGTGACAGTTCAAGAAATGTCAAAATATTCGGTGACAGTTAAAGACATATCAAAAGGGGCGCGGTCCTCCACGCGTCCTCGACAGACCTAGACATCCGCGGCAGATCGATGGGGATCCGCAATTTACAATCGGAGTACCAGCCGCAGCCCCACCGCGCAAAAGACACCCGTGGCAGAACAATCGCTTTTGGCCAGCACCTGGAGGCAACTGCCGAGTTCTTGGCTCAGCGGCAGCAGTTGGCCCATCCAGTTTCTCAATTCGTTCATCCCCCCCCTCCTCCCCCTCCCTCTCCTCCCTCCTCTCCCCCTCCCTGCCTCTCTCCCATTTCCGCCCCTGCACTCCCCCAATCCCCCCCCCCCGCCCCACCGTTCCCGCTACGTCCCGCACCCACTTCGGCACACCCTGCATTCGTTCCTTGGCCCCACATGGAGCTCCACCGAAGGTCCCAGTGGCGCAGTTCGCATGCGGTCCCGCACCAATCTTGACACACCCTTCTTACGTCTGGTGGCCCCATAGGTAGCTCCAGCGAAGGTCCCAGTAGCGCAGTTCGCATGCGGCCCGCACCCATTGCGGCACACCCTTCTTACGTTTGGTGGCCCCATAGGGAGCTCCACCGAACGTCCCAGTGGCGCAGTTCGCATGCGCTTCCGCCACCCATGTCGGCACACCCCTCCCGCGCTTCTTGGCCCCACATGGAGTTCCACCAAAGGTCCCAGTGCCGCAGCTCGCATGTGTTTCCGCCACCCACTCGGGCTCACCCCTCACACGCATAAGGAGCTTCACCGAAGGTGTCCGTGGCGCAGTTCGCATGTGCGCGCGCTGCCGCCACCCATGCTGGTACACTCCTCACACGTTTTGTGGCCCCAGCGGTAGTTCAACCGAAGGTCCCCACGGGGCAGTTCACATGTGCCCCCGCCACCCCTCACCCGTTTCGTGGCCCCATAAGGAGCTCCACCGAAGGCCGTTTTGGCGGGAGTTCCACCCGCCCGCGTGCGCCCCCGCCGCCCATTTCGGCACACCCCATCGCACGCTTCGTGGCCTCATGGGGAGCTCCAGTGAAGGTCCCAGTGGCGCAGTGCGCCGCCGCCACACATTTCGGCACACCTCTCCTGCTCTTCGCGGCCCCTTACGTAAAGAGCTCCACAGAAAGTCCCAGTGGCGCAGCCCGCATGCGCCCCCGCCACACAGGTCGGCACACCATACACGTTTCGTAACCCCACAAGGAGTTCCACCGAAGGTCCCCATGGGGCAGTTCGCATGCGCCCCCGCACCCAAATCCGCGCTTCGTGGCCCCATAGGGAGCTCCACCGAAGGCCCTTGTGGCCGCGGCCGCACGTGCCTCACCGCCCATGTCGGCACAGCCCTCACACGTTTCGTGGCTCCCGTAGGGGTCCCCGCCGAGGGCCCAAGTGGCAGTGCTCGCATGCAGTCCCCGCACCTGATTCAGCGCACCACTCGCACGCGTTGATCGGGGGCTCCACCGAAGGCGATGGTTTCAATTGCGTTCTTCACACTTGCACCTGGTTTGGTCCCTCGCCAGGCTGATTTTCTGCGCGCGTATTCCCGAACCCGAACCCGAACCCTTACACCTTCCACACCCGATTTAGGCATAATCAGAACACTGGACAGCCCAATAACCCAGACCACTTGTAGTTCGGCACGCCAGGCACCTGTGTGGCAAGCCAACAGGGGGCGGCGGATCTAGTGGCCTTCGGCCCATCCATTCACCGCGCCTGGGTTGTGGGTGAGAGGCCTCTTGGATGCCTTTGGGGATCTCTTGGGAGGCTTTTCGGATGCCTCTTGGATGTGGTTTGGGAATTTTTCTGGGCGTCTTGGGGTCCTCGGGTCTTGGGGCCTGATATGGGCCTATCGGAGGCCTCTTGAGGCGTCATGGGCTCGCCTCGGGGGCTTGCGGGGGATCTTGGGGCCATTTTGGGGCGGAGGGCTCAAACCGTCATTTCGTTTTTCCCATTTTGGGCTCCTCTTTGGACCGTCTTGGAGTCTATTGGGCCGCGACCTTAGCGCTTCTTGGGCAATCCTGAACGCTCTGAAGACACAAAACCGAATGGATTTTGACGATTTGGGCGTCTTGGGCCGCCCTCCAGGGCCTCCAAGACTGCCCAAGAGGCGCTCAAGAAGGTTCCAGGACGGTCCCCAGCGCCATCTGGAACAATGTTGACCATGCATGTCCCGAACGACGCGCTCTTGGCCTCTCGAAAAAGCACGCGGGGATACCCCGAGAGTGCCCACGAACGCGCGAAATCGCCCGGGTGCGCCTGGAACTCAGGGCTCGGGGCCCCTCAGAGAAGATGTACAGAACCCAACGCAGCGAACTCGAGAGGATCTGAAGACACTCCAACTCGTGCCTCAGGGCACGGTGGCGAATCAATATGCATGTGCTTTCATGTACCATACAGATATGATTATCAAAGTTTGTTTGTTGTTCTCTCTCTCTCTCTCTCGTGGTCACTCTCTCCCATGCCCTTTCTCCTCCCGCCTTGTGTCCCCTCCTCATCCCTCCTCCGCCCCGTCGTTCCTCCCGCCTCCTTTTCCCTCCCCCTCCTCCTCATTCCTTCTCCACGCCTCGCACTGTGGGGAGGAGCAATTGCATAATGAGGGGGAAGGGGTGAGGAGCGTGGGTGAGAATGAGAAGGAGAAGGGTGGAGGAACTTAGGGGGGCTGTAGAGAAGGACCAGGAGCGGTGAGGGATGGGAGGGGCAGGAGGCCCTCGATTCCTCCACCTCCTCTCTTCATCCCTCCCGTCACGTCATACTTCCTCTCTCCCCCCTCCTCTCCTACCCTAGCCGCTGCGCGGGACACCGTGAGATCGCGCCGCCTCCTTTTTGCTCCCTTCTCGCCCTCAACCGCGCTGGGGCGTGGTGCCGCCGCGCCAGGGCGAGCCGAAATGCAATTACTTCACCTGGGTCAAGGCTCCCGGCGCCCCCGCGGTCGCCTCTTCTCCCCCACCCTTCCCACCCATCCCTTCCCATTGCGTTTCTCTTTTTCTTTCCGCCGATGCATGTCACAAGGGACCTGAAACTGCAATGAGGACTCCATCATGTTGTGCGCAAGCGGAGAGACAAGGAAGCTGCGTACATTGGCAGAGGAGGAGGATGAGCATGCACAGGAGGAAAACGAGGATGATGAGGAGAAAGGGGATCGTGGACGAACAGCAAGGAGCGGGAGAAGCAAGGGGGCCAGGGAAAGGCGGAGGAGGGGAAGCGAGGGAGGCCGGCAACGATGAACAACGACTCGTATCAACTTCTCGACGCAGAGATTTCCACATGTGCATCTCATATACTCATGTCACGTTTCGCTTAGGAACTCTGTCTGTGAGTATGTGGGTGTGAGAGCGAGTCCGGGTAGACGACAGGCGCGGCACGGCGACAGCGACGACTTTCGTGATGTCCTCCTCCTTTGCTTTGGCATCTTTCAGGAGAGGTGCGGGGAGCCCACCTGGAAACTCGAGGGGAATTCTTTACGCTTCGCGTATCCCCACCAGCCCATCTCACAGCAGCAACTCTTGCGAAGCATGCCGACAGTCGTGTTTTTCAGGCGTGTGTCCGCTTGGCCCCGCATATCTCCCCTGTTCCTCGTTCCTCCCGCCTCCTTGTACATCTGGGGACCTCTGGGGGCCCTCTTGGGGGGCTTGTATGAGCGCTGCCCCTCCTCCTGGTATGACTCGTTCGGGCTCCTCGTGGTGTGAGTCGTTCGAGGCGCGCGTCGTGGTGTGAGTCGTTCGGGCTCCTCGTGGTGTGAATGGGTCGGGCGCCTCGTCCTGGTAGGAGTCGTTCGGGGTCCTCCTTCTGGCGTGAGTCGTTCGGGTTCTTCGTGATATGAGTCGTTCGGGCCCCTCGTCCTGGTGTGAGTCGTTCGGGCTCCTCGTGGGGCCTCTTGGGGGCCTCTTGGGGGCCTCTTGGGGCCTCTTGGAGACCTCTTGGGGGCCTCTTGGGGGCCTCTTCGGGGCCTCTTGGGGCCTCTTGGGCCTCTTGGGGGCCTCTTGGAGGCCTGTTGGGGGCCTCTTGGGGGCCTCTTGGGGGCCTCTTGGGGGCCTCTTGGAGGCCTCTTGGGAGCCTCCTGGGGGCATCTTGGAGCCTCTTGGGAGCCTCTTGCGACCTCGGCAGAAGCGCAAATGAGCGCTACCCCCCGAGAAGGACAAAATGAGCCCAAAACCTTCGTAAAATCAATGTTTTTGAAAAGAAGGAAGGGGAGCGCTGCCCCCTCAGAAGGCCAAAATGGGGCCGAAACCGTAGTAAAATCAATGATTCTGGCTTCACAGAAGAGGAGAGGGATTTAAGTGCGCCCCCCGTCGGGGCCAGAATCCTCGTGAGGGTCGTCGTTTTTTGGCCCTCCCAGGCGTCGAAATTGACCCCCCTGACGACCCGCGGGACTCCCTCTCCAGGCCCAGGGGGAGGGGGTAGGGGGAGGGGTAAACCCCTCCCCGAAGGGGAAGAAGGGGGGTTGGGGGGTTGAGAACAGAGAGAGCTCGCTAAACCACTCACGCCCAAAGGGCTGGTGGGATTCCTTTCGCTTTTCTCCCTGCAGCGACTATGGCGAGCGCGCATGGAGTTGCTACGTCTGTTCTTTGGAGTGCTACTCGCGGCGTAATGTTAATACGAGTTGGCCTGAGCACGAATGAGTCTGGGCGCGGGTGTGCGTCTGAATGCGAGTGGTCCTGGGCGTGAGTGAATCTGAATGTCGGTGGGTTTCAGTTTGATTGTAACCATTACAAGCCTGAAATTGATTGAGCTGGCCTGGGTGCGAAATTATTTGAGTATGTGTGAAGAAGAAGGCTGGTGAGTCTGAGTGTGAGTGGGTCTGGAAAAGTTAGTGTGGGTGCGAGTGATTAAATTCTGGGCGAGTCTGAGTCTGATCGAGGAAGTATGTGTGAGTTCGAGTATCTGCGAGTCTGAGTACGTGCGAGACTGAATGTGCTGGGTGCGTCTGAGTGAAGATGGGGTGGTTGTGAGTAAATCCGAGTGCGAATGGGTGTGTCCAGGAGGGAACGATGGGGAAGGAGGTGAATAAGCGAGTGCGTGCGGAGCGCACAATGCCAACAACAAGTAGGGTAGGCAGAAACAGGCAAACCGCCTGAGACATCCTTCGAGGTGAGCAGCCAACTACAACAAGGATATTTTCTGGGGGGGCAGAAACAGGCACGCCGCCTGAGACATCCACCCGCCCTGAGCGCGAATCGTGGGGTGTCCCCGCCCGTGGCGGCTCCCCCTTAGGAACGCCCAAGTGCCGCGCCTGCTATATCGCGGTGGGCATTGGACCGCAAACAAAACTTGGCAAACCGCTTGAGACATCCCAGTGATCTGGACGCGAACCCTGGGGTATCCCCACCCCGGGTGCTATCCGAGGCGCCCGCCTGCCACGGGAAGTCGATTGGCGCTTTTCCCAACGAGGCTATTTTTCCAGAAGGCCCACCGCCGACCCGACAGCCGCCACAGGGACAGCGCCAGCGCGCACGAACCCGCCAGACAGAGGGGCACCCCCCGAGACGAAAGCTGCCTTGACGCCTCTCCCTCCAGAGCCCAGGCCCCGCTCCGCGGGCCAGCCCGTTGGCCCTGTGCCGGCGAGCGTGCGCTTGCCCTCCACAGCGTGGACGCCGCGGCCTGCGACGCCCCCGTCTCCCGCATGCGCCGCGGCAGGCCTGCCGAGCCAGAGCGCAGGCCACTTGTTGCCTCAGCGCCGCCACCGCCCGCCGCCGCGTGGCGGTGACTAGTTTTGCGCGGGCCCGCGGCCGTCGGCGCGCGGCTTGGAACCGGCCGCGGGGCAGCCCCGCGCTTCGCCGCCCCCGGCCTCTTGCCCCGCGCCGTCGCCACCTGCCGCGGCGCCCGCCGCCGCTCGCAAGGCCGCCAGGGCGCGCCTCGCCGATGTGCCCCCGCCGCCCCCAAGGCGCACGCTTTGCCCGTGCCCCGCGAGCCCTGCCGAGCCCTGTGCAGTTCAGCGCTGGTCGGCTGCGCAGGTCAACGCTTGGCCCGGCGGGGACTGGGCAGGGGCGGCCATCATTCGCATGAAGTGGACGTCTTGGCGGTGCAAGCGCTGCAGGCGTCCTATCAGCGACGACGCCGCCCCCGCTGACCTTTCCGCAGGGGCTTTCAGGCAGCTCGTCGATGCCATTCCTCCTGACGCCTTCGGCCTCGCTCTGTCACCTGCGCCGTCCCGCGCCAGTTTTCCTGCTTCCGGTGGCGGGCCGATTCTTCCCGCAAGCGGCCCGCCCCTCGCCTCGCGGGAGGCCGGGGGCGGCAGCCTCGGCGTTAGGCTCTGCCTCGCCGCCCTCCCGTCTTCTGGGTTTTTGCCCCTGTTTTGGTTTCCGTGCGTAGCGCGCTTCCTTGTTTTCCTCCTTTTGGTCTTTGGCGCGCACTGCACGTTGCTCGGATTCGCTGCTCCTTTGTCCTTGTCCTTCACGCTCGTCACCTCCTGCCTTCCATGCCTGGACGGCTGCCACTGGCCTCGTAGAATTATCTCATGCTGCCGTGCGGGCGCCGCCCGCTGTAGAAAGTGCACCATCCCCGCTATGCACGCCCGGACGGCTGATGTCGACAGTGCCGTATCCTAAATGATGTTTGAGGGCCCGGCTGCCGTGCGCACTGTTTCTGCGCTTTCTCTGCCTCGTCGCTCGCCGCTGCGCGTGAGGCCGTTAGACGAAAAGTGTGTCTGTGTGCGTTGTGTGTGTGTGTCTGTGTGTGTGTGTGTCTGTGTCTGTGTGCGTTGTGTGCGTATATTTGTTTGCTTGTGTGTGAATGTGTGTGTGCGCGCGTGTGTCTGTTTACCCTTCGTATTCGGCGCGAGCGTTTCATCTTGGCGGGGACCCTGTCAGGGTGTTTGTGGGTCGTGGGTTCGTCTCGTCCTTCCCGGCCCCGCCGTTCGTCTCCCCCCCCGCTCACGGAGGTCGGAGGGGCGGGGCCGCCGCCGCAGCAGTTATGCCCAGCGGCGTGGACTCGAAAACGGTCGGGACGGGCCGCGAGCGCTCTGCCTCCTCCTGGTCCCGCTGTTGCCGCTGTTGCTAACGGGGGCACCCGTGGGGCCAGCAGGTCGCCGCGGCTGGATCCCGCATCGAAGTCCTGGCGCGCCCCCAACGGAACCGAGTCGCCTTCGTAGGCCAGCTCGGGCCCAGAAACCACCCCAGAGGGTAAAGGGACTTTGGCCCAGTGGCTAAAGCTGCCCCAGTCAAAAAGATGATGAGCAGGAGGAGGAGGAGGAGCAGGAGGAGGAGGCCCCGACCGTTGAAGATACCGTCTCAGTGCGCAAACGCCTCAGAGGTAGGGCGCCGCTACAAGAGCGTGTTGCGACAGCGACAAAACATCAGCAGTCGCCTTGAGCGGCCATTCGGTGACAGCATAGACCGCGTCGAGGTGGAGACGGAGAGCCCCGCAGACACACCCGAGCATGTGCGGACCCAAGCCGCAGCCCCTTGCCGAGGGCTGGAGGCTGGAGGGGGCGAAAGCCAATCAGCGTGTCACGCCCGCGGGGACGGAACCCCTCAAATCCAACCACGTGCGAACCCTACTAGATCCTTGTTGGTAAGATGGTTGACAAGCCGGCGGGGACGGCAGCGTCGACAAGGGTGGCGGCGACGGCGGCGGTTGCGGCGACGGCGGGGGCGACGACGGCGGCGGCGGCGGATATGTCATCGCCGATGGCGGCGGTGGCGGCGACTGCAAGGGCGGAGGCGGCGACGGCGACGACGGCGAGGGGTGGCGGTCCGCGCCGCGGCCGCAGAATGCCGGCCTGGACGGGTGCCCGAGCCAGTGCTGGCTGAAGGGCGGGGAACTCAAATACCAAACCCCCAAGGAGGGCTCAGCCGCCCCCGCCTTTTTCCTATGTTCACATGTCCTCTTCCTCCACCTTTGTCCCCCTCCATCCACATATCCTTTTCCTTCTCGTTGCCCTCCATGCGATGGACTAAACGGTCCGCCTACCTCTTCGCAGTGTCGTAGAGCCGTCCCTCGGGACGGCGGGGCGCAGTGTCCAGTGTTTAGTGTCTTTTCCCTCCCCAGTGCTGGTGGCAGGGCGGGGAACGCCAGTGCCAGTGGCCCAAGGAGGGCTTCTAAAACGAGGGGGGGACGGGGTTGATGCCAAGGGAGAAAAAGGTTCCGATACCGCTGCCCGTCCTTCGCCGTCACGATTGGTGGATTCGCGTCGGCATCTTGGCCAGGGCGCGCCCCGCCATGCGTGTCCTCGTGCCCCCGCAGCTATGGGCTCTTGATGCTTTCCAGATGAAGTGGGCCTGCCCTCTGGTATGGCTGCTGTGTGGTCGCCGTCGCCGCCCCATCCGAAACCCACCCGGAAAATGTGTGGTTGGTGCGCACCGTGCAAGTCTTTGCCTTCCCCATGCTGCCGCCGCGACGCCGAGCCTTGAAGGCGCCCAGCAGCACACAAATGCAAGGAGAACCATGGCGGGCCGCCTCTTCACTGGAGGGGAGGGGGGGAGGATGAGGAAAAGGAGGAAAGGAGGAGGAGGAGGAGGAGGAGGAGGAGGAGGAGGAGGAGGAAGAGGAGGGGAGGGGGTGAGACAGAAGAGGAGGACGAGGAGGAACATCATGAGGAGGGAGACGGGATTTACCCTTTTTCCCATCCTCCTCCTCCTCCTCCTCCTCCTCCTCCTCGTCCACCCATCTCCTCCTCCTCCTCCTCCTCTTCGTCTCCTCCTCCTCCTCCTTCTCCTCCTCCTCCTCTCCTCCTCCTCCTCCTCCTCCTCCTCCTCCTCCTCCTCCTCCTCCCCCTCGTCCTCCTTCCTCCTCCTCCTCCTCCTCCTCCTCCTCCTCCTCCTCCTCCTCCTCCTCCTCCTCCTCCTCCCCCCTCTCCCACCCTCGTCCGCCTCTCGTTGAACGTCTGGGGCGGTATCCGAGTACGTGTCTTCTTGCGGTGCTGAGTGGCTCGATTCACTTCTGCTTGGAGTGCTCTCTATGTGGGGACATTTCTGTTGATGAAATGTCGGCGTTATATCTTGTAGTCTAGATTGTAGTGGCTTCCGGCCAGTGCCGCCGATCTGGGGGGCTTTTGATGCTATTGTTAGGTCTCTCGGAGGCCTCATGTGTACACTTTAGAGGCATCCTGGGGGCCGTTGTGGGGACCATCGGGGCCTCTTTTGGGCCTCTTGGGGGCCTCTTCTGGGCCTCTTGGGTCCTGCTAGGGGCCTCTTGGGGGCCTCTTGGGACCTCTTGGGGCCCTCTTGGGGGCCTCCTGGGGGCCTCTTGGGACCTCTTGGGGTCTTCTGGAGGCCGAGGGCTCGAAATTGCCGTTCGGGCTCCCAGTCTGGCTCCCCTCTTGGAGCCGTCTTGAGATCCTCTGGTGCCGTTTTGAGGGTTTCTTGGGCAGTATTGGGGCTCTCTTGGGCCGTCTTGGGGCCATTTTGGGAGCCTCTTGGGGGCCTCTGGGGCCGTCTTGGAGCGTCGGGAAGCCGAAATGCGGGAAGGCCAGAATCCTTGCAAAACCATAGTAAAGTTTATGATTTTGGCCTCTAAGGGTCCTCTTCTGAGAGCTCTTGGAGGCTTCTTGGAGCGTCTTGGCGGCCTCTTGGGCCGTCTGGAGGGCATCTTCGGCGTTTTGGAGCGCTCTTTGGGAGTCTCGGGGGCTCCTGGGGCCGTCTTGGGGCCCCTTGGGATCCTCGTGGGCCCGGAGAAGCCCCCCTCCCGGAAAGCGGACCACAACTCGTCCCCCCCCCCCCCTTCCCCCCTTCGCCGGCAGAGCCCCCCGGCCCCCCCCCCAGCAGAGCTGAAGCTCAGGCTGTAGGCGGTAGGCTGTAGCTGAGACTTTTTCAAACTCACACGCCGGATCGGCGGATTTGTCCTGTCTTGTGGGAGGATCAGCGTTCGTATGCACTGCCGGCGCATGTGGAGCAAGTTCGTCAGAGATACCAGGCGGATCCATTTTGGCATTAAGTTGTGGTGCCCGATCTTGAGCGTCTCCTCCCCGCGCCACTCGTGAGTTTAGGTCAATTGGGACGTCAGGGATGGCTCTGATCAGCCTTTGCATTTCTCGCTTGTTATTGGCGATGGTTCTGGCCTCTACGGGCCATCACCCTGTGCCTTTCCGATGCGTTTGTTCGGCCGGGTCGGTGCGCCCTTTGGATTTGCTAGTGTAGCTGCATTCGGGGCTTACCCTGGTCTACACCAGTCATGTCCTGTGTCCGCGTCTATCACATTATTGATTTCTTACTCCATGCCGTTCCTGATGCGCAGTGGCGTTCTGTGTGTGGCGGCGACCGTGAAGGGGTGGTTCAAACTTGGGCCGCCCCTGAGTGCCTTGCTGTTTCTACGTGGGCGTCCCACTCCAATATTTGGAGGCACATTGATTTCCAACCCCTGGTACAGATTTAAATATGTGCGTAAGGTGATTGCGCATCTATTTGCTATGTCGCCTGTTCAGGCAGCACGTGGATGACCATCGGCAATGAGTGAGGATGAGGAGGAGGAGAAGAAGGAAGCGGAAGCGAAATGTCAGGAGGCCGTAAACGGCGAGAACGCCCGCATCCCCACGCCAGGACAACCAATTTGTTTGCCTCTTGGAGCTGTGTTGGGAGTGCTGTTGGAGGCTATTGGGGCGTCTTGGAGGCCCCTTGTGCCGTCTGGAGGCCATCCTTGGCGTCTAGAACCAATTGTTCGGGGCCCTCTTGAACTGTCCTAGGAGCCGCTTTGGGCATTATTGGTCCGTCTTGGGGCTTATTTCGCATCGAAGGCCGCCCGGGGGGGATGGTATTCTGACCCTGGACCTCTCCCGGGACCCCGCCCCCCTTCCCCCCCCCCTTGAGACCCCCAATCCCCAGGGGGGAAGGAATCAAAGGGAAGGGGCTCCCCTTCGAGTCAAATACGACGTTGCTCAAGTTTGGTTTGGTTGGCGCGCTTGAGGTTTCGGTTCGGTTTCGCTGAGGCTGCCGCGCTGGCGGAGGAGGAGGAGGACCCAGTGACTGCGACGACGACGACGACGACGACGAGTCAAAAAGAACGACGACGACGACGCGGATTGCGACGACGACGATGATCAGACAGAACAGCGTCTTCCACATGCCGAGAGGATCGGCGGATTTAGCGGTAGTCTTTGGATGAACAAGACAACTACACAGGGGACCAAGACAAACCCCAGGTGCGGGACGCTGGGGCGAGGGTTACCGCGCGCACCAGGCGCGCCGCGCGCACGGCGGCGCCTGGCGCGCCAGGTGCGCCAGATGTGCCACGTGCTCCACGTGCGCCAAGTGTGCCGTATGTTCCAGCGGCGCCAGGTGCAGCACGTCCGGGGCACGCGCAGAGTGTGCCAGCTGCGCCCGCGCACATCGGGAGACATGTCGGCCCGCAACACCCTCGTCGAAAACCAATGCGCAATCGCGGCGGAGTGGCCGTCATGATGTCTAGTGGGCCCGCACACAGCAGGCAATATGCCAGCACCCCCGCCGCCTCTGTCAGAACCGCTGCAAATGATCGAGGGGTTCCCGCGCATGATCCAGATTTGGCCGCAGGGTGCTGTGTGGATTGTGCTTTGACAGGAACGGTGGCCATGCTCGTGGCAGGCCATGTGCTGGCGCCCCCGCCGTCCATGTCAACAAATGTTACAAAGTGCTCGCAGGCACGCCGGACATGACCCAATATTTTTGTTTTTTGACAGAGATGGCGGGGGCGGGCGCATGGTCCCGGGTTTGTCGCTGTCGTCGTTCGGGCCGGGGAGGGGGTGTATCGTAACACGAAACAGTGGTAAACTCTTCCACGAAGGGAACGACAGGGGGTGGAAGAGGGAACACTGCAGATCACTTGCGCCCAGAGGGCTGGCGTGATTTTGTCGATCCGGGTCGCTGGCGCCGCCAGTGTCGTCGATTGGCCTCGTCTCCGCCACCGTCACGCGTTACCGCCAGGAGGGCGTGACCTCCGGTACGCCCGCGCCGCGCCGCACGCTCCCGGCCATCGACCCGCCCGCTGGAGGTGCGCCCGGCCCCGCCCCCTCGCGCGGCGGATCGCCGCGTGCTGGGCGGCAGCGGCAGCGACGCGTCGGCGTCGAGGCGCCGCCTGGCAGCGCGGCGCCGTTGCTGGGCTGCGGCGACAGCGGCACGGCAGCGGCAACAGGCAGCGGCATACGGCGACGTCGGCGCTGGCTGGCGGCGGCAGCCGGCCAGGCGGCGGCGGGAAGGACTTCGATCGACCATTGACGACGTCGACGCCTACGTTTCGGGAATGTCTTCCGAATTTCCCGAGCCTCCCAGGGGACCATCGAAAATCCGCTGAGGGCGAAAAGCGGGCCAGCATGAAAGACGATGACGACGACGGTAACGGTGACGGCCACGACGAACATGATGGCAACGACCACGGCCAGCCTCGTCCAAAACCGCGACCGTGACCACAGCCACAGCGACGATCACGACCTCGACCACGACCTCGACGACGAGAGCGGCAACAACGATGAGGACGACGGCAGCGACGACGACGACGACGCCCCCGAAGCGTCGCTCAGGCGCCACCCTGTACTGCTGGGTCCTGTCCGCCGCGCAGGCTCCACCGCCAGCGGGGAGGACCCGGGAGGGATGAGGTTGGAGGGTACGCGCAGATAGGCGCTTAGATGTCGCTGTGCGAACATTCTATGCTGAGGGCGCTCGTGGCGGCTCAGACCCCGGCCGCCTTACGCTGCTGCCCCTCAGTGGCGGCACCACTTGTCCCACTCGCTCAAGGTTAGCGTGCTGGTCTGCCCACAAGCCAGTCTCTCACCTTAGCTTTCGGCGCGCGCCGCGCGCGCAAGCTGTCCAGCTGCCACGGCTGCGATGCATGCCCCTGGCACGGCTTGCACAAACCTGCCACCCGCTGTTGCGTGTGATGTCAACACCGCGGGCACCATGCCCAGGGGAAAGCTTTCCTCAGGACGCGACCTTGGTCAGTTCCTGCCTCGGCGCCGGATTGCAGCAGGCGGCCGCCACGAGCCGGCCGCATCGGGCGTCCGCGAGGTCGTGCCATCGTCGCGCACGCATGCCGCATCGGGCCCACCTCCAGCCGTTGGGTGCACGCTGGCCGCATCGGGCACGTCCTGGAAGGCCAACGTGAAGCTCACCTGGCTCGTTGCCTCCGTGCAGGCCCAGCTGATCAAGCCTATGGAACGTCGTTGGTGCTCACTTGAGCCCCTTCGCCCGCTCACCTGTCGGCGCCCCAGCTGGCGAGCGCCATGTGCCGCTCAGCCATGTTGGCGTCGGAACGGTGTGCGTTCACCCTGCTGATCTGGACTCCTCCTGAGCCGATGCCCACAGGAATTCTTTAGAGCTGCCCCCCCTGCCAACAGCTCGCCTGGCAATTAGTCGCGAGTGTCGGCGGCTTCATTCCCAACCATCCTGTGGTGTTGGGTCCTCGTTTTGAAGAGACGGTGCCCCGCGTCCCTCCTTCCTTCCTTCCTTCCTTCCTTCCCTCCTCCCCCTTCTCCCTCCTCCCCCTCTTTGCCTCTGCTCTCGGCACACCTCTCACACGTTTCGTAGCCCCATAGGGAGCTCCACCGCAGGTCCCAGTGAGGGGGGGCGCATGCGGTTCCTACACCCAGGGCAGCATTTCGTGGCCCCATAGGGAGCTCCACCGAAGGTCCCAGTGAGGGTGGGCGCATGCGGTTCCCACACCCAGGGTGGCCCCATAGGGAGCTCCACCGAAGGTCCCAGTGAGGGGGGGCGCATGCGGTTCTCACACCCAGGGCAGCGTTTCGTGGCCCCATAGGGAGCTCCACCGAAGGTCCCAGTGAGGGGGGGCGCATGCGGTTCCCACATCTAGGGCAGCGTCTCGTGGCCCCATAGGGAGCTCCACCGAAGGTCCCGGTGGGGGTGGGCGCATGCGGTTCCCCCACCCAGGGCAGCGCTTCGTGGCCCAATAGGGAGCTCCACCGAAGGCCCCAGTGGGGGTGGGCGCATGCGGTTCCCCCACCCAGGGCAGCGTTTCGTGCCACCGAAGGCCCCAGTGGGGGTGGGCGCATGCGGTTCCCCCACCCAGGGCAGCGCTTCGTGGCCCAATAGGCAGCTCCACCGAAGGCCCCAGTGGGGGCGGGCGCATGCGGTTCCCCCACCCAGGGCAGCGTTTCGTGGCCCAATACGGGGATCTACCGTAGGCCCCAGTGGGAGTGGGCGCATGCGTTTCCCCCACCCAGGGCAGCGTTTCGTCGCCCAATAGGGAGCTCCACCGAAGGCCCCAGTGGGGGTGTTCGCATGCGCCTCCCCTGCCCAGGACAGCGCTTCGTGGCCCCAGCCAGGGCAGCGCTTCGTGGCCCCATGGGGAGCTCCACCGAAGGCCCCAGTGGGGGTGGGCGCATGCGGTTCCCCCACCCAGGGCAGCGCTTCGTGGCCCCATAGGAAGCTCTACCGAAGGCCCCAGTGGGGGTGGGCGCATGCGGTTCCCCCACCCAGGGCAGCGTTTCGTGGCCCAATAGGGAGCTCCACCGAAGGCCCCAGTGGGGCTGTTCGCATGCGTTTCCCCTGCCCAGGACAGCGCTTCGTGGCCCCATAGGGAGCTCCACCGAAGGCCTCAATCGGGGTGTTCGCATGCGTCTCTCCCACCCAGGACAGCGTTTCGTGGCCCCATAGAAAGCTCCACTGAAGGCGCCAGAGGCACAGTTCGCATGCGTCTCCCCCACCCCTGACAGCGCTTCGTGGCCCCATAATGAGCTCCAGCTAAGGTCCCAATGGCGCAGTTCGCATGCGTCTCCCTCGCCCAGGGCAGCGTTTCGTGGCCCCATAGGGAGCTACACCGAAGGCCCCAGTGGCGGTGTCCACATGCGTCCGCGCCACCAATTTCGGCGCACCCCTCACAAGTTTCGTGGCCCCATAGGAGGTCCACCGAAACCGGTACCCACAATGCGGAATTCGCAACTGCACATGGTTGGGTCCTTGATCAGGCTAATTGTTTTCCGAAATTGTTCGCCGTGCTGGTTTTTGTTGTGTGTCCCTTTCTCCTGGCGGATGGCATCCGCTGGGCGACCCTACACGACTAGAGAAAGCCGTGCCTGTTCTCACAATATGTGTGGTACAATGCCTTACCCTTGCCGTCGAGGTCGTAGTCGTAGCCGTCGGCGGAGAAGTCGTAGTAGTGGTAGTAGTAGTGGTCGTAGTAGTAGTAGTAGTAGTAGTAGTAGTAGTAGTAGTAGTAGTAGTAGTAGTAGTAGTAGTAGTAGTAGTAGTAGTAGTAGTAGTAGTAGTAGTAGTAGTAGTAGTAGTAGTAGTAGTAGTAGTAGTAGTAGTAGTCGTATTCGTAGTCGTAGTAGTAGTAGTCGCAGTCGTAGTCGTAGT